CACACCCACGCGCACGCACATGTACACACGCACTCCCCTTGCGAGCGGAATCTGTGTTTGGTTCGCGTGGGCGCAGTGCGCGCGCCAGCGCGTTTCTTCCAAGAACCTCGATGTCCTGATTTGTTCAGCTCCGGGATGCTGTCGAACGACCCTTCCTCGGGGCTTGTGCTTTGTGTTCCCAGAGCCCGATGCGCTCCTTCGGGGACCAGAATGGGGGAAACATCGGCATTGAGCTCAGCATACGTCGGAGGTTTTGGCCGCTCGCACCCTGGCCCAATGCGCGCAAGCATCATCCGCGCATGTCTTGCGCAGTGGCCCAGGGCAGATCGTGCTTCTGGACTGCAGCTGCCGCTGCTGTCTGCTCTGTCGCTGCTGCTGCTCCTCCGACTCCTTTCTCCTTCCCGCACCGACTGGTCACCTGCAGGACAGTGAAACATGTTGCCGTCAATGGTGCTAACTTGCCTCCGCCTATCCCCGCCCCGCGGCTGGCGTTCCTTCTGCTCCTCCCTCTTTTCCTCCACCCCCCCTTTGACGCGGCTCAAGGAGGGACCTCGCTCCCCCTTCTCCTGGGGTGGCCCCAGCTGGCGCGCAAAAGCGCGCCCGTGCCCGCGTTCATTCCTCCCCCCATTTGGGCGGGGCGCACAGAGGGTGGGGCGAGGGGGCGCGCCCATCTTTTGAGGGTCAGGAGGGGGAGACACACGCACGTGTACATGATTTTTCGTGGGCTTCGAAAGCGTGCGTTGCGCGGACGTTCGCAACGCGAGGCCGGCCTCGCGGACTCGGGGACCGTATTCATACAAATGGTTGGGCTGCGTCTTTTTGTGGGCTCCCTATACGCAGGTGGTGCTTTTCAGAGGGGCTCTGAGGCTTCGGGGGAGGCCTTTCAGGAGGCAAGAGGGCTTCCGAGAGGCCCCCCTTGCCTCCTTCAGGAGGGCTGCAGCTACTCACCAGCATGCGCTCTGGCCGGGCCGATCCTGGGCCCAGGATCGGTGTGTATGGCCTCCTGGCCAGTTCAGGAGGCGCATATACGCCGACCCTGGGCCAGGGATGGGCCTGCCCAGGACCAGTCCGTAGGTGTGCACAGCTGGCGCCCGCCTGCTCTGAGAAGGCCGCGCCAGGCCGCCCCACCCTGTGTGCGCCGACAGCTTCCTCCGGGAACGCGTTCTTGCGCGGCCTCCGAGCGGGTGGGGCGCTGGCGTCGCGCGCGCGTTCGCGCGCTGGCGGCGCGCTTCGACGCGGTCGCGGGAAGCAAAAGAATCAACAGTTTGCACCCGCCCCCCCCCAGCTTGTCCAGCGACGGCGACGACAAAGACGCCGAAGGCGACAACGACAGGAATGGCGCTGACGCCGCAACCGCCGCCGCCGCCGACGACGACGACGACGACGGCGACGACGACGGGGACGACGACGGGGGGGTGAGCGAGAGGGGAAGACGTCCCAGACGTGAAACTAACGCGACGATCAGTGTTGGGGGGATAGGGAGAGAGGAAGAATTCCAATACCTTTAGGCGTCATGAGAAAACCCGTGATCGTCAACAACGACATGGGGCCCAAAAAAGCGGTCCTGCGGCACCATGAGCCGATTTCGTGAACCAAACAAGACGTGCAGGGCACGGGGCAAGGGCCAGGGAGGAAGGGAGAGGGATAGAGCGGGGGACGGAGGGATGAGGGGCGGTGAGGGAAGGGGGGGAAGAGAGGGAGGAGGAGAGGGAGAGGGGGGTTGGGGGAGGGATGGAAGATGAGATGAGCCCTTGTTGTATGCCGCTGGGCGGCAGCCTGACGGCTTCTGCGCGCTCGGCTGCGCATAGGGTCGCGCAGCTGCCAGAGGTGCCAGGACACCACCCCGTCCGCTTGCGGTTGAGATCTGCAGCCGGGTCTGCCTGCGTCCCTCTGTGTCCGCGAATGTTCTCCCTCTCTCGCCGCGGGCCCCAGGGGCCTCAGCCCATTCCCCAGGGGCAGTCTGCCATCCCAGATCAGCTTTTCGTGGCCCCAGGGGCCCTGAACGCGGCTCTCAGGTCGGGGGCGTCAAGAGGGAGGCGAGGGCCAGAAGCGAGGTCATTGCTTGCCAACTGTCGTCTCAGTCCTTGCGTGCTCGCGTCTCCTCCCTTTGGCTTCTGCAGTCGTTTTCCCTAGCAATTTCGAGCAATTCTGAGGCACGTCCGGCATTTTCCGACGCTGTCTCGCTCCGAGAATGTGAAGATTCGGATTGATTTTTCCATTTTTCGCAACGTAGAACCGTAGTATCTGATCCGCTGGGGCGAGAGCGTCTCCTGGCTGGAGTGCAGCGGAATGTCTTTCCTGAGTGATTTTTCAGCATTCTGAGGGAAATCCAGCTTTCATCGACGCCGCCCTGCTCCAGGGATCTGAAATTGTAGAGAAGTTGTGCAGATTGTGCGCTACAGAGTTCCGCCTCTTCTGACTCAGAACGTCTCGCTGACGTCTGCAGCGTCACGGCCTCATTGTTGAAGGTTGAGCGACTTTCTGCGACATCAATTCAACCTTGAGTGATTTCGGTTACGTCGTTTACCTTTGTCCGAGTCAACGACGTGGACTTGCCGTACCGTGACCGAGGCCACGACGTCTCCCAGATGTCATGGCCTCCCCTCTTCCCTGTTCGTTTCCGAGCGCTCCCTGGCCGGAACCCGTCCCTGCGCATGCCTGGGGCCACGGTGCGCCGCCTCTCACCACCCACCAAACCACCCCAACCCAACCCGAACCCGTGCCCCCCCCAACCCGAAATTGGGGTTTTCGGGTTGGGTTGGGGTGGTTTGGTAGGTAGTCAGCCTCCCCCCCCCCATCTCGGCCGCGCAGAGGGGGGGGGGAGGGAGAGGGGGAAGCCTCCTAGAAGCACCCCTGCTTCGAAGAGGCCTCTGCCCCCTCCCCCCGCCCCCCCTTGGTGCGCGCCGCCGACCTCTCTTGGGCCACGGTGCGCCCCCTCTTTCCCTCCTTCCCGGCCCCCCTCCTCGGCGCCAGGTCGCCGCGCGGCCCACCCGTGGCCCGCCGCGCAGGCCGCGCCGCGGAGGCGCGCCGCGTCGCGGCCCGCCTCCGCCGCCCCCGCCGCCCCGCCTCGCCCCGCCCCGTGACCGCCTCCGGCACCTCCCCTGCTGACGAGACTATGAGATATGGATGTGTGGGGCAAGATGCACAATGAGCACAATGAGAAGAAGAATGGAGGACGATCTTTCTCTCACGTGCAGACTGCGCTCCACACGCTCTCGTTCCGGAGGGACGGGCCAGGGTTGCAAGGTAAGCGCCCGCTTTGCTATGGCCATTCCCCAGACCGCCGACGGCGGCCCCCCCCTCCCCTGCTGGGAAGTGGAGGGGGGGGGTCCAGGAAGGGGCGAGGACCAGGAGGTGGGGGTGGAGACGGACTTCGCCTCCGCCGCCTCCCCGCCTCGCCTCGCCTCGCCCCGCCCCCTGCTCTTCCCCTCGCCAGGCAGTGGAGGGGGTCTCGTTCGTCTGCCGTTCCCGTCCTCGCCGTCGCCAGTCGTCGTCGCCGTCGCGTCGGTGGCTGCCGCCTTTCTCTCTGCCAGGACCTTGCGCCCTTTCGATGCGCGCGCGAGGCCAGCCTAGAGTCCTCGAGTCCTAGAGTCCCAGAAGTGGAGGGTGTCGAAGAGTCTGGGCCTCCCAGATGGGGTCCGAACAACGATGGGGTCGGACAATCGCGCCGCATCGCCGATGCATTGGCGATGCGGCTCGATGTGGATCCCGATGTTCTCCACGCGACGTCGCCGATGCATCGCCGACGTCTCAGATGCACCGACGATGCATCGACGATGCAGCGCGATCCTCCGACACCATCTAAATCAACAACATTCGGGAGGCCTCTGAAGAGGGGCGTGATGACTGTGCGGGGTGCAGGTGGATTTCGCCACCGCCGCCTCCCCTCCGCCACTCGTCGCGCCTCCTGCTCCTTCCTCTCGCCAGGAAGTGGCGGGGGTCCAGGAGAGGGGTGAAGACCAGGGGGTGAAGATGTCATGACCGGGACCCCGGGGTCGAGGGCTCGTTGCCCTCAGGACCCGTGTCCTTTATGCCAACGCCTCGTCCAGAGGGACGGCGAGGTGAGACCCTACTGAGCCAGCTCTAGCCCAGCATGAGTGATGATGATCAGCCAGCCTTGGGGGATGCGCTTGACCTGAGCGCCCTCTCGGACAGCCTGCCTCGTGGCCTTGTTGCGCCCCCCCGAGCATCCTCGCAGGAATCGAACGCATTACTCCCAGAGGGAATGCGATTCGCTTGGAGTCCAGGAGGGGGGACGAGTAGGAGAGGGGCAAGAGTCAGGAACCCTCAATTATCGGGCCCCAGAAGAAAAAAAACAAAAAACAAAAAAAACATGATGACACATTGGCCCGGGGGAAGGAGTCCGGGGTCGAGACCTCCAGGGACCCACGTGGTGTAAGCACGGCGTCGGGGGCATGGGACGTCTTCCTTTTGCGTCCGGCTTGGGGGGCTGTTGATCTTCTGAGGGGCCGGCGGCGCTTCTTGTCTGTCCGTGGCGCTTTTTGCCTGTCCGTGGCGCCTCCCCGCCGCCCACCGTTGCCAGGGTAGGTTTCCGCCGCTTGTTGTCGCCGTGCAGCCAGTGATGCGCGCACCAGTGACCCTGGGATAACGCCAGTGGCAGAGTCGTCCATCTTGCAGTTCGCGCGTGGTGTGTGTTTCCCGTATGATGGCGATCGCTCTTCCGATTCAAAGTATTGGCGCTGGCATGTGTCTTGGTTATGGGTACATGTCTGGTCAGTTGTACATCTTCTGCGCAGACATCACGGTTGCTCTGTTGGAGCTAGGCGTCTTGATTGCCAATTGGCGCCAACATGTCGACGTTTCCTGGCGTTATATACCAGCGTCTTTTTCGAGAGACATGTTTCAATTCGGTCGCATATCACATGCCATGTACGTCAACACTTGCGGTAGAGCGTCGTCATCTGGTTCCCGTGCACTGTTTGTTACACGCGATGTTATGCTGTATCTTTCAGGTTTATAGGTTGCGGTGGGAGAAGACAGAGAGATATGTGTATATATACATATATATATATATGACAGAGCGTGTTCTACCGCTGCTGGCGGAAAACCGGGCGGGGTCACTACCGGTTCGAACCCCTCCCCCCCCCCCCCTCCGGAAAACCGGGGGGGGTCACTACCGGTTCGAACCCCTCCCCCCCCCCAGTTCATCATGAAAAGGGGGGGGGGCCACTACCGGTTCGAACCCCCCCCCCCCCTCGAACTCGAAAACCGGGGGGGGTCACTACCGGTTCGAACCCCCCCTCCCCCTCGAAAACCGAGGGGGGGTGCGGACAGTGGTGGGGACGGTGGTGGTGGGGACAGTGGTGAGGGGACAGCGGGACAGTGGTGGGGACAGTGGGACAGTGGTGGGGACGGTAGTGGTGGGGACAATGGTGAGGACAATGGTGGGAACAGTGGGGACAGTGGGACAGTGGTGGGGACGGTGGTGGTGGGGACAGTGGTGTGGGGACAGTGGGAATGTGGTGGAAACAGTAGGACAGTGGAGGGTACAGTGGTGGTGAAGGACAGTGGTGAAGGCGGTGGCGAGGACGGCGGTGGGACAATGGGACAGAGGTATAGTGGGGACAGTGGTGGGGACAGTGGGGACAGTGGTGGGAACAGTGGGACAGCTCAGTGGGACAGCGGAGGAGTCAGTGGGACAGTGGGGACAGTGGGGATAGTCGGGCAGTGGTTGGGGCCGTGGAGAAAGTTGGGAGAGTGGAGCCGTGGTGGGAACAGTGGTGGGGACAGTGGGGACAGTGCGACAGTGGTGGTGGCACTGGTGGGGACAGTAGGGGCGGTGGTGGAACCAGTGGGGACAGTGGGGGTGAGGACAGTGGTGTTGGGAACAACAGTAAGAAATGTGGTGAGGACGGTGGTAGGGACCGGGAGTCGTTTGCTGGCGGTGAGAGGGGGGGGGTGGGGAGGGGTTCGAACCGGTAGTGACCCCCCCCTCCGGTTTTCGAGGGGGGGGTGGGGGGTCGAACCGGTAGTGACCCCCCTCGGTTTTCCGGAGGGGGGGGGAGGGGTTCGAACCGGTAGTGACCCTCCCCGGTTTTCCGCCAGCAGCGGTAGAACCTCCGGTTTTCGAGGGGGGGGGGGGTTCGAACCGGTAGTGACCCCCCCCCCGGTTTTCCAGAGGGGGGGGGGTTAGCTTGTGGACATCAGCGGGTTCTGGTCCACGAACGGACGAACGGGTGCGCAGAATACATCATATTTTCATTCATTGTTCTTCTTCCTGTGCCAGTTCTTCGATGTTCACTCCCTGCACTATAAGACGAAGGATTTCCCGGGCTCTGGAAGGAGGTATGGGAAGAGTATGCTGAAGAGTATCGTCTATCGGGAGATGAAGCATAAGCCTGAACAAGTACGGGAGAGGCGGAGGAGCAAACGGCGTTGCCGCGCTTCGTTGCTCCTCTTCTCGGGCATGTTTTTCCTCGCTCGGACGTCGAGCCTTGAGCCAAACAGTACAGGCATATAGCTGACGCGGGGATTGTGTTGCCACGCTCCCCGAGCTTCTGAAGCGAATTGGTGCCGACAGAATGCACCAAACATTCGGCATCATATCCATAACCGAATTACTATTGTGCATGCCAGTGCAACGCACTGCTATGCCATGCCATGCCTCACGCACCGCACAACACAACAGAAACCAGGATGCATTTGAAACGCGATCTTTTCCTCACGTACACCCTGCGGCGCGCAGCACTCCTGGGAGCCATCCTTGGGCCCCTCGCCCCAAATCCAAGCTTCCAGTGACAATCTAAACGGTCGCCGGCCGGGGCGGCCGACCGGCCGCAGAATCGACGAATAGCGATCGACGCAAGCTGTGGGAACCCCGACGCGGGGCGGAAATTCGATCAGCATTGGCGGGACCGTTTTCCGGTCACCTGGCGGTTTGGCCAGGCGCAGCTTCGGAGGCACTCCCCACACACGGTTAGGGGAGCAGGGGGGTTTTGCCGGGGGAGGGGGGGGGGGGTCCAGCAGGGGGGGGGGGGGATTTTCGGAGGGGGGCGACCCCCGGGTTCTGGAGGAAAAGGGCGGCAATTTTCCGTAGTAAAGCGGCGGTGGATCACGCTCTCTCTCTCTCTCTCTCTCTCTCTCTCTCTTTCTCACATATATATATATAGAGAGAGAGAGAGAGAGAGCGAGAGAGAGAAAGAGAGAAGGCCAGAGAGCGAGAGAGAGAGAGAGAGAAACAGAGAGACAGGCAGGCAGAGACAGGGGCAGAGACAGAGACAGAGGCAGAGGCAGAGCCATAGACAGAGACAGAGACAGAGGCAGACAGATACAGAAAGAGAGAGAGAGGCAGGAAGAGAGAGAGAGAGAGAGAGAGAAAAAAAAACAACATACAAACAGATTCACACACATCACACAGAGGGATGATCATGAGGAGGAGGGGGATGCGGAGGGGCCGGCAGCAGAATGAGGCGGAGCACGTATGAGGTGGACGAGGGAGAGAGGAGAGGAGGAGAAGGAGGAGGAGGAGGAGGAGGACAA